TGGTTGCCACAGTTATTCATTGCTGTGGTGTGGTCTGTCCCGTTTGCTTCTTTTTAGGGATCTTTTTTTTAATACCCCATCTCAGCTGCTCAAAATATGTGGCTGTTATTGTGCCGACTCACTGTAAACAATAGCTCAGCAAAAGCACCCATATCACCTTTCCTTTTCATTAAAAATTCAAAGTCTGTTGTTTTCCTTTGCTCTTTCCCTCTTTTAGTCCCTGTTCAGCATTGCTAGCAATGGTTTGTTCTCTTTCTGGCTCCTTTCGTAACTGGCATTGCTCTGGTGGTACGTGCATGTAATTGGTAATAATAGCACCCAGGCTGTTAAATAGCATTGAAAGTGAGGAACAGATTGTTACAGTACAGTATGAGCGCCACCTATTTGGGCTATTATGTGGGAAGTGACAACGAGTAACTGGATATTTGGAGAGAGGGTATTGTGAGATGCAAGGACGAAATTGTCGAAGCATGCTGTCCACTAGTAGCAAGTCTGGCGGCTAAAACTGAGTGTATAGTTGCTGGTTTTTGTTCTGTGTGTTTCCCTTCCTTTAACAAGAACGGGAGCCTCATGCTGGCATCTGTGGTGTAGCCGTTACGCTTTTTGCTGTTGCATGCAGAAGACACATGAATTTGATTACATGTTGGAAAGTTTTCTATCAAGTGTGTCCATCTGTCTGCTGGAATACCACCTCTAAAATGATCTAAAATTGTCTTGTTTTGGGCATAAATCATACAATTACATTAGAGTTAGAGCCTTCTCTCTGACTTTATTAATCATCTGTAAGCCAGTATTCTTCAAAGTACAGCATCATTCATGACTTGGTTAAAGATTTTCTTCATCAATAGGTTTCTGTTTTTTCCAGGATTTTACATGTATAGTGTGTATGGAACTACTAACACAAAGACTAGTTGAATGATCTGTAAACAAAAGAAAAGGATATGCAGTTTCTTGATTAGAAACAAGTTTGTGATGGTACAAAGTACAAAAAGAGGGCTCCCGTGGTCAAGAGGTTATGGTGTTTGCCTCTTATTCAATAGGTCCCTGGTCCGAACCAGGATAGCGACTGAAAATTTTCTTCTCTAAAATTGTCTCATTTCACCTCCTTTTCTGCTCCCTAACAATGTTCTGTCGTCTGCTTTCGTCTTCACTTTCTGCCCCCATCCCTTCACCTCCTTTGCCCCCTCTTCTGGGTCCTGACTCTTTCTGCAGCCTTTCTACTGCTACTCCTTGGCTCCTTCTTACTGCTATCTTTTAGCCACACCCCTGATCTTATGATACATAAGATCTAACACCTAGCCTTCTCGGATGAGGGCAAAAAATCTTTGAGGTCCCCTGTGCAAGTTATGCATGTTAAAGGTCCCTTGGTGGTCCAAAATCGACAAGAGTAGGCTTCGGCTGCCACCCCGGCAAAATTAAAAATTTCCTACCACACTGAAAATGTTTAAAGTGTGTCCCGCATGTTCATATATTTATATATTACCTTTTGTATGCAGTTGAGAGGGCGGTAAAACGCTTACAAACATTTTTTAAAAAGTACAAAAAGCACTTGATGATAAAAAGTAAGCTGGCTAGAACTAGATGATTAATACACCTTTAGTATTTTTTATGACTTTAAAAAACAAAGCCAAAGCCTACACACACTATTATCACAACTCTCAATCTTTTTTTTTTTTAAGGATGCATGAAACTATCCAATGATGAATCTGAGTTAAGTGATTCTCTTTACATGATAACTGTTGAAATTGAGTCGGAAAACCCTTTTGTTAGCATCAAAACCAAGGTGTAGAGATATTTCGGTCAGTGTCCTTTTCTTAATTTAGTTATGATTTTATTTCCTTATTTTTATCATGTTCCTTTTCTTGTTTTCTCCCCCCTTTCCTTGCTACACACACTAAACAGTTACCTGATCAACCCGTTTGGCTACTGGTTGGGCCTGAAGGAGAGGAAGCACATCCACTTGGTGGAGTCTCCAGTTTTAGAAGGCGCCTACAGAAAGTTTGGATGGAGAGTGAAGAAACATGAAGTCCAGGTGAGTTATTTTAGCCTACCTGTCACAAGCATTATAGCCACAGCTCTTTGCCTTTGTATATTTAAAGTACACTATGTTCTGAGGGATATATTATAGTTTTCTGTCAGAACAAATGCAGTATAAAGAGTTTTCACTGATTTATTTTGTCATGAGAAAAATAAAGTATTAGAAAGTTAAAAGGGTTTCTGTGTTCTAAAGAAATGTAAATGCAAGACTTATGCAACATTGCTACACAGTGCTTAAAAAGTCTGTTTCTGTAGGATTTTCTTTCACTCTTAAACTCGTCGTGACCCATGTATGATGCACACCGTCTGTCATTTTTTTTTCGTAACTGCTTTTATTAGATGCTCTTCTTGAAACTAATTGCAGATTAAAATTTAGTGATATTTTTCCATACACGAAGAAATTATGTTTTCCTTTTAGAGATAATAGTATTTTCAAAACTAATTATAGGCAATTGACTTTTGAATCTAGTGCTACTTTTCATCCCTGGGAATCCAAAACTGTACCCAGTGAGGCACGAACTGACCTAGCATCGCAAGGGGATTAACCTGCTTTTTAAGATTAAACGTTACCTTCGCACTTGCTATCTTTTTTGTCCTTCTGTTTTTCCATGCAGAGTCTGGTCAAACAGACAGACATGAGTGAGAGACAAATAGAGAGGTGGTTGTTCAAGAGGAGGATCCGGGAGATGCCTTCCTCCATGTACAAGTTTAGAGAGTGCAGGTAAAAACACCAGAAGTGATCCTTTCTCTCCGCCTGTCTTTCTTTCACTCTCCTTCCCTCTCTTTCTCCCCCCGCTCTCTCTTTCTCTCTCTCTCTCTCTCTCTCTCT